ACTCCTTTGCACCGGGGGTTTCTCTCTGCAGCTGAGAATTGCACCATGCAAAGAAAGCTCCATGTGGCGGGAAGCACACACACAATCATTGGGTAATGACAAGGAGTATAAAATATAAGCTACAAATGCCATGGCACACAAATAGATAAAAATACCAAACTACAAGGGGAAATACAAAATGCACACATACAAATTTTAAAACACAATTCCTTATCTTAAAGTGAAAGAGAGAGGAAGGAAGAAAAGGTAGAAAAAGAGAAACATATCCAAAGAGGGGAGAGCAAATGCAGGCAAGAGGAAAAGGGGGCTTTCTGCTACATAAGAACCTTCATTAACTTTGAAGTGGGGTTGGTAGACTCCATTTCCCACTAATTCAAACAGGCTAAAGCAAGGAAATAAGCACTTATCATTCGTGACCCCATCTGTACTTCATTCCTCAGTTCCTTGTTCTGTCATTCCACATCTCCAGCCTTAAATCCAGCCCTAGGTGTAATGCACTCACATGCTTGCAGGGTCTAATTCTGTGATGTCTGCATCCAGTTTATCAGATTTAAACCAACTGATAACATTGTAGAAAATCTCGTCTTGTGCTTGAAGGGCTCCCCATGGTGCTACTGCCTCAGTCCAGGTTCCAAGTGTAACATTTACATTGCAGTCAGAGGTATGACAGCACTTTATAAGGGACAGTGCAGCACTTTTATCTGGGTATACTGGATACCAATAGCAGTAAAGACAAGGCAGCATGAGTCTCAGTAAACCTGCATAAGTCCCTGGGAGCCATGTTATGTACTCAAGTTGCTAGCCCTCACAGGAGTCCTTGCCTTCATGCACATGCTGTAATCATAACTCTCACTTTTAGCATAGACATAACTTCAGTCACCACCGCCTTGTTCCAGAGGCACTAATCTGCATCCAAATCTTGTTATATCACTTTTGTCTTTTGCTTACATATTTCTTTTTCCCTCTGATCACTCTTTGTACACTGTACTCTTCCTCTCTCTTCCTAGCCTTTAACTTTTATTCTCATCCAGAGCTAGTTGCCACGTTTTCTGCTGCCCAGATGGCTCCTGTTCCATATTAGAATTAGTTCAAGGCACAAGGGTTAAGTCATAGATTGAGTAGAAAATGAAGTTTCCACAACCAAATGACACCATTCCAATGTTTAATTGAAATATTAATTAAACATTTAGTGTTCCCATCAATATTTCCCTTAAATCAGGAACGGAAAGATGGTTAGAATTGCTTAGCACTATTGCAGAGTAGCATGTGGACCTTTATTATGCCTGTGCAATGTTAATAACTTCACTTATCATTTGTGGTATGGGTAACATGAATTGAGAATATGGCAAATACATGCAAGCCACAATAGAAGATTAGGGCAGGAATCGAAGTACTTGGAACCACAGGAGGAATTCCAGGTGAGTAGAATATAGTTAGCTACAGTTGAATTTGATAAGAGATTTGAAGACAAGCTTACTTACACAAGTGCTATGAAGTTCATTAGTAAACATAAATAAACACGTCCTCTATGTTTTTCATATCATTATAAATATATTTTCCATCTGCACAGTGTTCTGTAGTATGGTGTTGAGGTTCAATACCAAGTCAGAGGGAAGACTGCCACACGGTGAACTGACAGCATCTCATGTTGCAGACCTTTGAGTTTTCCTTGTAGGTCATTCATTTGTTGACTAGGTTCCACCTTGACTCAGATTCATAGCCTAAAATAGGCTGAGTGCAACAAATTCAGGGCATTTAAGTTGAGGAAAGTGCTTTGACTTTAAAGATGATGTGCTTGCCTCTTTTCTTTTTGGTTTCTGTTGCAGGGAGAATTCAAAGTGTCTGAGCGGTACATCACCATGAGTGATCTGACAACTGCCTTGGGGGAAAACAGAGTGAAGGAGATGTTTGGTGCTGGGACTGCTTGTGTTGTATGTCCCGTTTCTAAAATATTATACAATAATGAGGTAAGAGAACCATTTATATGTTTTTATTTGTTCGTTTTCCCTATTAACTATGAATTGAAGGAAAAAGAAATAACTAGGTAGAAAAGGAGGCTGGTTGTAGCTCTGCTGCCAAGCCATTGTCTGAGGTGGAGGTGTATCTTACAAGTACAGTGTCTTGCCTTCCAAGTGACTAAGCAATAGAGCTGGTGGGGGGAAAATACTTTTAGGGTCTTTTTCTCTGTGTGTTACCAGCATTTCTTCCTCCCTTTTTATTTTTAATCTGTGAATTCAAAATGTGAAAAAGAAAATGACCAGCTCTTAGCTGACTGGGCAGAGGCAGCAATTTTATTTTAAAGTTAGTCAAGTTTTTGTCATTAAAAAAAAAAATTAACATTTCAAATTTTCATCAGGATGTTAAAATAGGAAAAACACTTTGGTCAGCTTGACAGAGGAGTGAACGTGAATTGGGGTCAGATCTTTCCTCACTGAGAGCTGGTCTGATCCTGTTTTGTTCATCATGGTCATAACGTTCTTTGCAGAGGGTCAGCTTTAAGGTATACTGCTAGCAGAAAACCATGCATGAGCAACAAACCTGGTTGTGCAGGGAACACAGCTTTGTGCTATTATTCCCCTTTCCTTCTCTTCTGCTTTTCCCCATGCCTAACATGACCCTTGCTCTTTATTTCTGGCAGCTCTGATGAAGTTGATCTAGGTGTCAGGACTAAGACAAGGTAGTAAGGTTACTTCTGTCTGCTGTACACCAGCTGGAAGATTTCTTTTTCATCCAAGCGAATTCTCTAGGGCAGTGATTCTCAACCAAGGTGCCTTGAGATTCTTTCAAGGGTGATGCAGGGTGCCACAGTGTTACTGCTCTTAGGTGTATAAACATGATTCACAAGATAAACTTAGAAATTTCAAACATGAATCCATAGAGTTAACAATATTTTGACCTGTTGCGGTCTAAGTTCTTTCCAACAGAAGTATTGTTCTACTTTTTTTTTTTTCTGTAGTCCATAAAAGAGTGAAAACTAAGAGCTGGCATTTTTCAAGGCGTGCCTTAAGTCTAAAAAATTTGAAAACCACAATTATAGGGCATTTCTCGCACTTTGTGTTCACTTACACAGTCCAAAGCAAATTTTAAGAATGGAAAATGCAGTCATTTCTTTGACAAGCTATATACTAGGACAACCACAATAGAATAGTGGTTTAGAATAATTAAATAGTTGGCGTATATCTATTAAATAATATTGTACTTTCCCAGTATGATGGGAGACATGAAGATGTTGGTTATTGGAAATGCATTTGTTTTATTTTAACACAGTTATGCAGATAGTAAATAGAGTCTACATATAGTGGTGCCTATTGTGGTCTTTCTGAGTTTTTTGCAACAGAAGAATTATTCTATTCTTTTCCATACATAAAAAGTGGGTGAGAGCTAAGAGCTGGTGTTTTCCAAGGGGTACCTTGAGTCTAAAGAGGTTAATAACCACTGTATTATTGGCTGTATAATAATTGTTCTCTTTTTAAATTCCATCCTAGAATTTGAACATTCCAACTATGGAGAATGGACCTCAGCTGGCCACTCGCTTCTTAAACAAGCTGACTGATATCCAAGTAAGGGCTTGCTTCTCCTTAATGTGACAGAGTAATAAAAGGGGTAGCTTATAAATGAATGGATAGGGTTTGTTTCTAGTAACAGGGTACACCAAACATCAAAATGTAGACTTCAGTGCCAGGGAAAGTAGAATAAAACAGTGTCTTGGCAGATTATCAGAGGTAAAGAATTGCGAAAGATGATATTTTCTCCTACATATCACTTGGGGTTGTTGCTGTCCCCTTTTAAAACTCACCAAGCCTCATTCATCCTGAAACAAAGTAGTGTAACACAGGTATGACATAAAGGACCTGACGTGCTTCCAGGATATAAAGGTTTTGGCCACAAACCCTAGTGGCAACTGTTTCATCTTCCCTTTAAACAAATCAAATAATACATTAAAAAAATTCTGACCCTATTTGCTGATACAGTTATTTCATGACTGTTGCAAGAGAATTGTTTTTAACTCTCAGGAATTTATCCTCTCTGAGCCTCTGAACTGGCAGTCTTAAAGCATTGTTGAAATGTCTTTCAGCATTTCAACTTTTATTAAGTGTGGTTCCATTAAACTTTTAGGGGCTTTTTTTAGAAACTTTAAAATCAGATTCTTTGCTATTGTACCAACTCATCTTCTAACTTACAATAAGGGTGCAACATGGTGTACTTCAGCTGATACAACAATCAGAAGGGATTGCTAAACTGAGCTGCTTGTGAATTGTGGCTTGTCATCTACTTTCTACTCACCTGAAACACTGTGGTGAGCATGCTGAGACTTACAGTGTGGTATTGCATTACTATTCAGTGCATTAGGTAACAGAGAAGTTAAAACTCAAATGAAATGAATAACATTCCACTAATAATTCCCTAATTAATTAAAATAGTCTGTGCCAACCTTAGAGCAAGGGCAGTTGGGCATCATGTAGTTTCAGTATTTCGTGTGCATTTCTCTTTCTGTAATGCAGTTTTCACAGTTGGGTATTAGAATTCAGATTTTTGCCCTGAAACAGCTGCTTTTCACAACTCCAAGAAAGGTAGGGGTGGGCCAGTAGGGGGCACTTCTGCGCTCAGCCACCTGCCTCATTGTGCCTGACCAAAAACCACACTTTGGGTGTGTCCTCTGGGGGCCTATGTCTGACCAACCCCTTCCTGGATCACACCCACAAGCCTGGGGTAACCGCTGCCACCACCAGGGCCCTGGTCTTGTTAGGGCTCTGCATAGCCTGGGGTACACAGACCCTGGTGACCTCAGGATGCTTAGCCCACTGTGGTATTTTGGGGTGCTTCTTTTAGCCTGAAGTATTCACAAGCAACCTCCTGTACAGGAGGAAAGTAAAAAGCATCCACCTTAGCCAGCTGAACATGGGGGGCTTTAAAGACTAGTCTCACCCTCATAAGCATTTACAGCAAGCCATGCTATAACAGATAGCTTTATTAATCAAAGAGGGAGAGAGTGAGGAAGGAATACAAAACAATGGAAATTTTTTTTTTAAGTTAACCTACTTAAGCAAAACGAAATGGGCTTGTTGGCCCCTTTTGATAGTTTCTGCCACCTTCTTCCTCAGGCTTCAGGAGTCACGCATTTATCCACTCCAGAGTTCTTGTAACATGGCTTGTAATATCTACCAAAACTGTTGTTCCCCATAATTTCAGTGGAGTTACAGTTCTGGTTGTCCCAGATTGTTGCTATACCATGCTAAACAGTTTTGGTGTGCCACCATAGTCATGTGGGAGCATGTATATTTCAAGTGTTACAGGAAGGGATTTCTGTATACTCATAGTTAGAACAAAAAGGGCTTTCAGATTCTTTGCTGTAAAGATGCTGTATAAAGTAGAGCTATTTGTGATAGTCCTCTCTAAATTATAGACACCCCTCCACTGGGAGCTAGATGGAGATAGATATTATACTTCATTGTTGGCCAGCCTACAGTGATCACATCATAGCAATTTTTAGTCATCAGCAATTTGCCCTGTAATTGAACCTCTGACCTGGGGCAGAATACCTGCCTATCCTGTTAGTAAGCACCTGTATCACCCAGGTTTCTCATATACCAGGGGTGGGCAATTATTTCAGCTGGAGGGCCACTTAATGAGGCTTGCTGAGCTTTTGAGGGCTGCATGGGTAGTCCTGCCCCTTGACAGTTGCCCCACCCCCTGGTTGCCATCTTGGGACTGGGCGTCCCGCCCCTAACCCCTGACCTTTGCTACTGGAAGTCCCTCCCCTTGTCCCCCCAGAAATACTCTTTTTGGGAAGTGGGGATTGCCATCTTAGAAGCAGAAAAAACCACATCAAATACCTATTATAACATATTTTAATTTTATTACCAAAATAGTTGTCATGATTTGTGTTTGAAGAGCGTATATAGAGGTGATAGCATAATAACTCAAAAATAAAGTCTTAGTGTATATTGTTGGGGGGAGGATGATTGGCAGGGGTGTATTATGGTAGGGTGTGTGCATGTATGGGGGGTGTATGGTGATGTGTGGGGGGTGTGTGTGTATGTATAATGGGGGGTGCACGTGTGTTGTGTGGGGGTGCATTTATGGGGGTGTGGGGGGGTTGAGGGGGTATGGCTATGTGTATAGGGGGGTAATAGGGTATGTTGGGGGGTGTATATGTGGGGGGGGTTGTGGAAGCAGGGGGTGGGTGTCTGGTATTTGTGGGGTGTGAGGTAGGGTGGGGAGGTATGAGGACCCCCTCCACACTCCCCCCGTGATACACAGCCCCCACAGGTGGCAGCAACAGTTGTGGGTGCTCGTGCCTGGCACAGGCCCTAGTGCAGCAAAGAGCACCTTTATTTAGGCAGCTCTTTGCTGCCTTTATTAAAGGCAGCAAAGAGCTGCCTTTATTGCCGGGGCTCCCTGCTGGACATGTGCAGTGTCTGCACTTGCATGCCATCATTGTGAAGCCCTGCACTAGAGCCAGCTGCCTTCGCCGTTCCCTGCCATGCAGGTCCCGGGACTCTGCTGGAAGTGGAGGGGAGCTGCACCCCCTGCTTCCCGACAGAGTCCCAGGACCTGAACAGCAGGGAGCAGTGAAGGCCGCTGACTCCAGCACAGAGCTTCCCCCCAGTGGCATGCAAGTGTTGGAGTTATATGTGCATAGTGCAGAGCCCCGATGATGAAAGCAGCTCAGCCAAGCTGCACTGCTCACCGTGCTGTGCAGCACTGGCCAGAACTGTGCACTGCCAGGCGCCAGCACCTGCTCTGGGTACAAGTGC